AGGAAGGTTTCTTTAGCAACCCTTAGCTTCCAAGGGCATGCTATGTATTGGTGGACCTCCTTAGAAAAAGAAAGGAGAATAAATCATGAGCCCCCAATCCAATATTGGAATGAGCTTCGTAGTGCCTTAAGAAAGAGGCATATTCCTCCATACTATGACCAAGAGCTTATGGATAAGCTTCAAAGATTGAAACAAGGGTCCTCTAGTGTGGAAGAATATAGGCAATCTATGGAGTTGCTAATGATGAGGGTTGGGATTATGGAGGAAGAGAGGACCACAATATCTAGATTTCAAAGTGGTCTTAACCTTGAGATAAAAGATAAAGTTGAACTTTTGCCTTATAGAGATTTGAATGAACTTGTTCAAATTTTCTCAAGAGTGGAGCACCAACTTAAGAGAAAATCTTTTCGAAAAGACTCCACTCCCTCTTATTCCAAGAGTTTTAAGAAGGAGGGCCATTCTTCCCTACCTTATCCCAAGGAAGAAAAAGAAAAAGAAAAAGAAAAAAGAAAAAAGAAAAATCTTTCAAAGCACCTTTCAAAGATTCTAAGTCAAGTGAAATCAAGTGAAAAATTATTGTATATTCCATTCCTATGGCGAGGTGTACTCTAAAGTAAACTGTGACAGTAATAAGCTTGAGGTATTTCAAATATTTATATTTATTGTGTTAAAATTAAAAATACCTCTTAATGGACCCAATGACAATTGTTGTAGGGGTGGGTGTCATAGACCACCCTTGGAAGGGTTTACCTAGTGAGTGTGGTGGTGGGGCCGCTACTGTGAGATATGGGCAATCTCTAAGTAACACTCACGAAACAAGATACATGCGCTAGGCCGTAATGCGCTCCACTGATTAGAACTCAAATGAACACCTTTATTATATGTGTTATGTTCTAAAGTTTGGTTAAAGGGATATGGCTCAAGACAATTATGTCTCCATATTCTCTCAAATGGAAGTTCATATGCACTAGTTATAAGGCTCAAACCCGGAAGGTTCCTTGTACTGAAAATATAATATATCATGCTCCATTAAAATATTTAAGTTTATATATATATATATATATATATATATATATATCATTTTTCTATATTTAAATTTTAAATTAGTGGGGGCTTGTTGAAAATTATCGTATAATTTAAAATTTAATTAAATATTTAATCTAATTAATTCTTTTTTCTATTCTAACGTTCCAAAATCATAAAACGGTATGGTACGGTTTTTTTTTCTTCCTGACCAAGTATTGCATTAGGTTTTAAAGTGGTTAACACATGCATCCACGTTTTTTTACTGTTACTACCAAAAAGGCTGCAAAAATGCACGTATTCATCTTTTGAAAAAGGTATCTAATTGTACCTATATAAATATATTAATACGGAGGAAACACACACACAACAAATTCATTTTTTCTTTTCCTCAATATTTTTTTTACTAAAAGTTATAATTTTGAAGCGGTGTTCTTTGGTTCGGGGATCTTTCGCTGCACTTGAACGGTCTAACGAGTTGACGTATCTTGGGAGAGGAACGCACTATAAGGCTCAAAATGACCAGTGCAGTGGGGGCATTTTCTCTCTAAGGATAGCGCTCTGCGTGTTTCAACTCAGGCTACTCTAAACTTCTTATCTAATAATTTTATTTACTCTTTGTGTTTAAATAGTTGTTACTGATTGTTCTGTTTTTAATTTTATAATATTCATTGTGTTGTTGATATTGATTTTATTGATAAATCTAAATATTTAATTTTTCTTGTACTCTATTAAATTTATTTTCTAACAATTCTTTCTACCATACTTCTGCCTTTCTCACTTCTCTTATCATCTAAACAACCATAAGGGTGAAAATCAAATTCGGAGTGTACGGAAAACATTTGTCTTAGGAGAAATTGCATCTTTTCCTAAACTCAGATCAGAACATAAAAGGTGAAATATGTGGCTAAAAAAATATCAAAAAGAAAGGAAGAAAAAAAGGATCGAAATAGCAATATAGTCCAACATCCAATTATTGCGCACATGCCGATAAAGAGAATAAAGTCCACATGTGTCACTCTCCAATGTTTTTCTTTCCTTTCCATCGAAACAGTGCATTTATATATAGCAGTTATCAGAGCAAGAAAGAAGGCTTGATGATAATTAATATGGAAGAAAGCAAAGGGAGAGTGTGTGTTACAGGTGGTACAGGGTTTATTGGTTCATGGATTATCAAAAGGCTCCTACAAGATGGTTACTATGTTAGCACCACTGTGAGATCAGATCCAGGTAGTAGAAGCTACTCGATCATCTGTTAAATTTTTAAAACATTGTCAGTGTTTCCATTATAACATTTTGATGTTGGGTATATATAGGATTTGATATCAAACCCTGCATTCTTCTAGGGTGTTAATTTTTATTTAGTTAATATGTGCACTTTTCTGACCATATATACATACTGAACATTGTTATTGTTTTCCTGATGTATATGACCTGAAAGGCCGGAATCACTAATTAGAGATCCCAAGTCAATTATATATAAATAATAATTAATTTTTACTTTATAAATTGATTTCAATTTAAGGGTATAAACCATTATAAAATATTCAATGTAAACCTTGGTTAATTTTGAAATTTAAGAGAGGAAAGAAGACAAAGTTAGAGAGAGAAAAAAATTATATTGATAGATATGATAAGTATATAATAGAAAATGAGATGAAAAAGAAGCCTAGCTTATGATAATAATTAACAACTCTGTATCATTTTACTTGATTTTTGCATTTAATTGGTCCATTAGATCTAACATATAGTTTCATGAACTTTATTTTTTGGTCCACATGGTTAAAAATACTTCACTTTAATCTCTCTATACATGTCATTTTTTTTCCTTTTAGTATGTATATAGTTGAATATTTTTACCTTTTAATCTCTGTAGAGATAGACTAATTCTTAATTTAAAATAATATTTAAATGATTGTTGTATGTCTTTAACATGTTCCATTTGTCTATAACACAAGAAACAACATTTTTAATTTCTATGATATGCTTTATTTGATTAAGTTTGCAACTTGATTCGAAAAATAAAGATAATAATTTTGATTATTAAAATGAATTGTAGAGCACAAGAAGGATGTTAGTTTTTTAACCAGCTTACCAGGAGCATCTCAAAGGCTACAAATTCACAGTGCTGATCTCAGCAATCCAGAAAGTTTCAATGCAGCCATTGAAGGGTGCATTGGAGTTTTCCATGTAGCTACCCCAGTTGACTTTGAATTAGATGAACCTGAGGAGGTAGTGACCAAAAGATCCATTGATGGTGCACTTGGCATTTTGAAGGCATGCCTCAATTCCAAGACTGTGAAACGAGTTGTTTACACCTCTAGTGCCTCTGCTGCGGCTTTCAATAACAAGGAAGTGTTGGATGAAAGCTGTTGGAGCGACGTGGATAGTCTTAGAGCTTCAAAGCCATTTGGTTGGTCCTATGCGGTTTCAAAGACATTGACAGAAAAGGCAGTGCTTGAATTTGGAGAACAAAATGGATTGGATGTTGTCACACTAATTCCAACTTTTGTGTTTGGACCCTTCATTTGTCCAAAGCTTCCTAGCTCGGTTCAAGCTTCCTTGTGTTTTGCATTTGGTATATGTGATGATATAGTTTTTGCTTCTCCTGTTATACCATTTATTAGTTAACAGTGTTTCAAGGCCATGATTCATGTCACTCACACAACATGTTTAGCAATTCTAATTTGAACAGAGTTAACATAGGATAGATCACACTTGATAACCATGCTTCAATTCATGAAGTTGATTAAGATTCTAAATATATTAAAGGAAATTTATGCAGGAGGAAAAAGTGCCTTTGGTTTCATAATTCAAACACCTATGGTGCATGTAGATGACGTGGCTAGAGCACATATATTTCTGCTGGAACATCCTAATCCAAAAGGGAGGTATAGTTGTTCACAGTGTCTGGTAACTTTTGAAAGAATCTCTGAACTTGTTTCTGCCAAATATCCAGAATTTCAACTAGAGACAGTAGAGTGAGTTTCTATTGTATTTCCTGTTGTTACACACTTAGACACTACTATTAATGTGATTAAATATTTTTTCTTTTATTTCATTGCAACAAATATTTGCTTATTTTTTGCTGCAGCTCGTCCAAGCAAATTGAAGGTATCAAGATACAAGATTTGTCTTCAAAGAAACTGAAAGATGCTGGATTTGTGTTCATGTACGGACTTGAGGAAATGCTTGATGATGCAATCCAATGCTGCAAACAAAAAGGGTTACCTGTGAGGTAGTTGTGTACCCTTTTTATGTCATATGATGAAGGTTATACATACAATAACATAACTATCTGTGCTGAAAAATGGTTATTCAAGCTACCAGTTGATAGATTTTGGTTTTGGAATTGGACTACGATTCTATTGGTAATAGAAACTAGCTTTTGTGGCAATAGCTATTGATTCGTTTTGGTTTTGGTTTTGGTTTGTATTAAATAAATCTAGCAACATGTGTTGAGTTGGTTGTGGAAAATCTAGATACATATGTTTTGTAAAAGTAATGGAGTTGTGGGACTTTCCAAAGGCTATCACAAATGCATTCGTGGAACAATCAATTCGATTTCAATAATTGCAAATAAGAATTGAATGACCAAGGTAGGGTGATGTGAAGAAATAGCACGATTAATTGCTGAAACAAGAATTATTCTGGTTATGAAATAATCCGATGTTAAATCTCTACACAACAAAACCCTGTGAAAACGACAGAAAGTGTAATGAGATAAAGAACATTTCTGTTAATTATGATAAAGATTAGCACTTTTGTTATGATAGAGACAAGTTAGAATTGTGATCCGTATTAACGGATATTCAAATTTATATAGTTGCCATTAGCTGTACAATTATCTTGTTATATAGGCTTAGGAGCTTTTCTTATTAGTTTGTTGAACTTGTTGTCTATAAATATATGTTGGGTAAAAACAAGGTCTCATATCGATAAAATAAGAGAAGAAATAACAATTTATAAAGTACACACACTTCAATGATAAATGAGCCTTTTAGATGATAATCAAAAGCAAAATTGTTAAGACTTAAAAATAATCTAACAATATATAACAATGTAAATCTGAATTCAAATAGAGAAATACAATATAATTCTCTGTTCTATAATACAATACAATTCAAATAGAGAAATACACACACATACCATAAATCTTTTGAGTAATAATCAAAAACAAAACCAAATACAATACAATTCTTTGTTCTATAATACAATACAATACAATTCAAATAGAGAAGCCTTTTCGATGATAATCAAAAGCAAAATCGTGAGGACTTAGTAAAATAACCCCAACAATTTAAATAGAGAAATACAATATGATTCTCTGTTCTATAATACAATACAATTCAAATAGAGAAATACACACTCATACTCCAATGATAAAAAAGTCTTTTGGATGATAATTAAAAGCAAAATTGTGAGAACTTAGTAAAATAACTCCAATAATACATAGCCATGTAAATATGAATTCAAATAAAGAAATACAATATACTTTTTTGTTCTATAATTTCTTATGGTATCAGAGCTCCAAAATCTTGAACAGAGCATAAGGTTAAAGACTCAGAGAAGAAATCACATGCCTTCGAGATCATGAATGACTCAGTTATTATCACTCCTTTATCACCATATTATCTTGGATCATCAGACAAATGGGAACACCATTGGGGGGAATAAAACTTACTTGCGATAATTATTGAAATTGGGCACAATCTATGAAGACAACTCTATGTGCCAAAACAAAACATCGATGCAACATTACAAAACCTACATTGACCTCCTCCTGACTATCAAAAGTGGGAGAAAGTAGATTCAATGGTAATAACCTAGATTATCAACTCAGACTCCAACATTGTACTCTAGCATCTCACACACAACCACTACAAGAAAGGCTTAGTTGGATTTAGAGGAACGTTTTGCTCAAGCTAATGCACCTTGCATATTTCAGTTGTGGCAGACTCTTTGCTTGATGCAACAAGAATCCAACATGATCATGATTGAATTCTAAACCATGTACAAAAGCTTATGGGATTAATTGAGTGAGTTGCAACCATTGCCTGACTGCACTTGTGGTGTAACAAAGGAGTTGGCATAGAGAGAAGAAGAGCATTGTGTCGACTTGTACCATGAAAGCTTGGGTACAATAATCGTTTTGCTCATGTTAAAGGGACTATCCTCAACATAGACCCATTCTCTTCCTTCGCAGAACTTTCAACCAGATATTGAGGGATAAAGCACAAGTCATATATAATAGAAAGAAGTAAAGACACTAGACAAGAAGTAGGAACAACATTCTATGCACCTAATTCACGCAAGTAAAGGGGACGAGATGGACCTAGATAGAAGTGTGAACATTGTGGGGAAATAGGACATGAAAAATCTAGAAGTGAGTTGGTGGGATATCCATCCAACTAGGACTCCAAGTGGTCACAATGTGATCACAATAAATCCATTTCCAATCAAAGAGGTGCTTATATGGCTTCATGATTTTAAATTGTGGTTGCGGTCGCGGTTGCGGTTGCGGTTGCAGTTACTGCGATTGCGGGTATTGCGGGTATTGCGATGCGGATTGCGGCTGTTGCGGTGTGAAATTATTAATTATTTTCACTAAATATAAAAAAATTATAATTATCAATATATATTTTATTTTTAAGGATTTATACATTTTAATTCCTTTTTTTTAATATTCTATTGTTTTAATGAATAATTTAATTTATTTTAAAATTATAGTATCAATTTGTCATATATATTGCGGATGTATTACGGTGCATTTCAGATGTGTTGCGGACGCAACACCGTTACGTTGCAGAAAAATGTGTGAGTCTCACCGCAATTGCGGTCCGATGCCGTTGTGGACAAGGCCGCAACAGCAATATTGCGGCCGCAATACGTGTTGCGGTCCGCAATTTAAAACCATGATGGCTTATATGGACAACAACTGAAAAGATGTCAAGAAAGTTGTGAGTGGTCATGCATCCCATATGAAGCGCAATGCGGACCAACATGACTCCATGGTTGGTAATAACATGATGAGTAAGGAAGCAAGTTAAGTCTTGGAAAATGATGCATCTCACCACATGAGCCCTCTATATCACCTTTTAGAGGAAGTTCAAACCCTTGACAAACCATTTTTTTATCATTGTGCCAATAGGAAACATAGTGATAGTAGAGACAATGGGAATCATTACTCTATATAGCAACATTAAATTACATAATGTGCTTTATGTCCTTAAATTTAGTTACAATCTAATTTTAGTCAACAAACTAATTATAGATTTGAACTGCATAGTGACTTACCATGCTACTTATTGTGTGATACAGGTCCAAAACACAAGGAATTTGATTGGCTTCGATGATTTTCATGATAGGGTTTATGTGCTCAAGAAGACAAGGCAAGGGTCCTCTCTAGTTGCTATACAAGTCGACACAAGCACACTTTGATATGTCAAAATGGGACACCCATCAACTCCAGTATTGTAAAGGCTCTCTAATTTTCTTAATTTCATTTTTAATATGAATAAAATGGACTGTTGTGATGTATGCCACAAAGTCAAACAATGAGAATCAACCTTTCCTTTGAGTAATAATAAATCTGAAAAGTCTTTTGTTTTAATTCATTGTGATCTTTGGAGGAAATATCAGATTTCATCTCATAATGGGTCTCATTATTTTCTCACCATAGAAATGATCATATGTGAACAATATGGGTATATCTAATGAAAGAAAAAACCAAGACCACTAACCATCTCATCAATTTTTGTAGGATGGTACATACTTAATTTGATCTTAAAGTGAAAATGATTCATAATGACAATGGGACAAAGTTCACAAAATCCACAATTTAGAGTTTCTTCCATTAAGAGGGAATTCTACATGAAACATATCATAAGTAGGAACCCCTCAAAAATATGGACAAGTGGAATGAAAACATCAACACATCAACACATCCTGAATGTTGCGTGAGCTCCAGGTTCCAAGCAAAATTACCCATATCCTTTTGGGGGAGAATGCATCTTGGCAGCCACTCACATCATCAATCAAACACCAACACTAATCCATGATGGAATTTGTTGGAATTCAAGAAGAATTAGAAGGCTTAAACTCATATATTTTATTCATACTTGCAACCTTTAAATACATAATTGAAAGTTGATACAAATTATGCTCATAAACATAAAATTAAATGACAAATGTAAATACTCATAAAAGTGTAACAACACCTATAATTCCTATAATTAAAATTCATAACCGTAAGAATTCTAATAATGCTCCATTAATCTGAAATAAACTCAAATAATAGATGTTGATTCAGATTCTCAACACTCCTTCTTGTATCAGTAGCTATTAACTCCAAGTTTCCCTTTCAAGTTCTCAAACTTTCCTTTTGGAAGTGCCTTTGTGAAGATGTCTGCCAATTGATCTTCTGTTATTCAATCTAACTCCTCTTCCTGTCTTTGAATACTATTTGTTGGAATTTGTCATATCAAATACATCTTGCATAAAAGTGTGACCAAATCTTCCATGCCAAACATTACTCTTATCAATTTTAGCAATAAAATCACGATCTTCAACCAAATCAAATTTCAAATAAAAACCGTTTTTGGTCATCTCAATCTTGGCAATCTCTAAACCATGTTCATCCATGATAAAACAATAATTCTCTATAAAAGAGACTCCATAACCACTCCTTAGCATTTGTGGAACACTAAGAAAATTTTGATCCAATTTTGGAATGTAGAGAACATCTTTAACAATTATCATACCTTTCTTGGTTGCAATATAAATTTTTCCTTTTTTGATGGAGAAGGTTAGGAGGAGTGGTAGATGACTTCTCCTTAGCTTCTCCTTTGCTCGGATCTTCTTCAAGGAGATGGAAACCACAAAGATGAACACTAGATGGAGGTAGTATCACGGATGGAAAAGGCTTAAGCCTTGGATGGAAGCATCCAAGCTTAAGGTGCAAGGGAAAGCTCACTTCAAAGAGGAGGAAAACCTAGTAGGGTTCCTAAGGTGAAGCTTTCTCTCATGGTGACTCTTGAACGAAATTTGGCTGAATAAGCTCTCAAATTTTATTATTCTCAAAAGTGAATACAATGAGTGAAGGCGGAAGCTTAAATGGATCCGAAATTAGGGACACTTGGCGCCAATGTGGAGGCTTCACATGTGGTGCCAAATTTTGAATTCAAATTTTGAATTTGAATTCAAAACTTAACTCACATGTGCAAGTCCGGTTCACATTGATGCTAGGTGTATTTAGGTTTGATTTAGTGTGCATTTAGGGTTGAATTTGAGTCACACATGTTCAGCCAAGGTGGCACCATCCATGTGACTCAAAATGCAACTTAAATGCATGCTAAATTAAACCTAGTTTTGAATTTTGAATTCAAAACTTAACTCACATGTGCAAGTCCGGTTCACATTGATGCTAGGTGTATTTAGGTTTGATTTAGTGTGCATTTAGGGTTGAATTTGAGTCACACATGTTCAGCCAAGGTGGCACCATCCATGTGACTCAAAATGCAACTTAAATGCATGCTAAATTAAACCTAGT